AATTGATAATACTCATTCTTATTAGAAGTTTGTAAATTTATGTACAAATTTAGTCTTCCTACTATTATCCATATAATCACTCTAGGCTGCCAGAGGGGAATGAAATGGTGGGAACGGGAATTGCACATATCCCTAACCATTCCAGCGTTTACCAAACCATCAAGAATCAAAATGATTGTGGGACCTGCATAAGATCAGGAATTCAACTCCTGAAATGGCCGGAGTCCAATTCTTGAGTGGGAGGAGGTATTTGGATTCCTGGAAATGGTTTTCATTAGGAATTCAAATTTTATACCGATAATACCCTCAAGCTCCAAAGATGAGAATAATGTCAGTGTTTGCAGCCTTTGCGATGGTGATGGCTGGCCATAGGTGCTGCCTTCAAGCCCTTGTTTGACAAGGCTAGCGTTCTCGATGAAGACCAAAGAACAGGGAAGATGGTGGTCTCACGATCAGGGGTGGGTCGGCAGCAGAGAAAGATGGGGAAGAGACGCGGACGAGAGAGATGCCTAGGAATTTTAGAAAGGGGTGGGTCAGCAGAGAAAGATGGGGAAGAGAGAGAGGTGCCTAGGAAATTTTAGAAATGGATGGGTCGGCATGGCAGCAGAGAGATGGGGTAGAGAGAGGACAAGAAGTAAATTTTCTTTTTTTAAGGGTTTGTTTTATGTTGGTAACTGGTAAGGAGCAATGAAAGAATAAAAGTAACTAAGAAATAAAAAAAAATGGTTATTCTTTCTATGTAGGATGAAAGAATATAAATTTTACTAAAAATAAATTAGTTACAATAGGGGTATTTTTGTAATCACATTAATTTTCATTTCAATTCATGTGAATTAGTAAACAGTTTATATAAATCAATATCATTCGTACTCCGATTCCAACCTATTTTAATAAACAACTTTAACACGAATTTGATTTTGATTTCACCTCATTGTAATTCCTCTTCAATCTAATTTCTCATCAATTCAATACCCATCAATTTAATTATAGTAAACGAGCCTAAGAGATGTTAAACATTATTAGGCGCAGTGCACAATGAGCACAAATTCTTCCTCATTCCATCCTTCGTTTCCTTCTTTCCCACCAAAATCCCGAAACTTAATCAGCGATAAGCATGGATAAACTTCTAATCCGACCCCTAATCGCGGTCCTAATCTCGTTGTTGATCCCCGCCAGATCCTACCGACGAAAATCACTCGACCCCTCAGGCGCAATCGCGGGTTTTGCCGTCATTACCATCCAGACTGCCGTCAGATACAGGTATCAAATTTTCTTCCACTTTCTTTCATTTTCTCGGCATCCAAACAGCCTTATTATTACTAACAAACTTTGCTCCTCGAAGGAACGGATCTCTGCTGCGGGTGTTCTTCTTCACATCGTCGAAGCTGACCAAGGTCGGGTAAGACAAGAAGCGGCGCGTCGATGCCGACTTGAAAAATGGTGGGCAGAGGAATTGGGTGCAGGTCTTATCCAACAGTGGGATTGCGTCGATCTTGGTTCTGGTTCTCTGGGCAAAATCGGTATTGCAGAGAATGCTTCGACTCGGAAGACTCGTTTCTTGTTACGTCGCTTGTTGGTGGGGTTATTGGTCACTATGCTTGTAGCAATGGCGACACTTGGTCTTCTGAGCTGGGAGTGCTCAGCCTCGATTGATCACGACTCTCAAGTTCTGTATGATCGGCTCGATTTTAGCATTTTGTCACTTGGGTTAAGCTAGAATTTTGAAAAGTTTCGATTTTTTTTTCCCAATCTTGTTCTGCTTTGCTGCATGTGCTGGCATTTCTATTGATATTTTGAGCTGAAGAACCTTACATAACGGGATGTTATTGTGGCGGTATTTGAATCTAATGACTCACAATCATTTTGGAAAGTTAAAATGAATGGCTAAGCGTGAGTGAGCTGCGTTACCTACCTGGCATCCTGGTGTAGGTTAATTTGTCATTCGTACTTAATAATCAAAGTCCTGGCTAGAAAACGTTTCCTTAAACTCGATAAATAGTTCAATTATCATATGAACACACAAACATATGTATCATTATTTTTTTCGCAGTTCCCCGTCGTAAACTCGATAAATAGTTCAATTATCATATGAACACACAAACATATGTATCATTATTTTTTTCGCAGTTCCCTGTTGTCTCACGTCTTTCTTTTAAAAGCCTAGTTACGTTCGTGCCATTGCTTATGAGTGTTATTTGTGCATCTTTTTATTCTTTGAACTGTTCTAAAGAATACCGATCGCCCTATAGACTAAGGGTATCAAGTATTTGTTCTGTCATGATTGGGATTTATACAGTTTTGGGGAATGTATTGGTCAAGCTTGAACAAAATGAAATTATCTGGCTGCTTGAATACGTAGACTATGGATGCTATTTTGGGTTTCCACATTGTATTGGCAGCCTGTTCAGAAGGGTACCAATGGCGGAGTTACAAAAGCAGGACTACTGGCAGCTGCAGGCTCTGTTATCGGACTGACATTTGTGGTTTTTGGATTTCTCACTACAAAATGCGCATATGATGTAGCACTGAAGCAGTTGTTGGTGATACCTATTTCTACTCTTGCTGCACTAGGCGGTAGTGTCATCGATTCTCTTTTGGGAGCAACGCTGCAATTCAGTGGATTCTGCACTGTTCGTAACAAGGTGCGTTAAAGATATAATACGTGAATCTGATGTTATCATATTTATGGCAACAATTGAATCTGCCTAACGAATCTCATTCTAACTTCTTTTGTTTCTCTAGGTTGTTGGCCAAAAGTTAAGAAAACCTCAGGTCTTAACTTTCTTGACAACAATGCTGTGAATGTTGTTTCAATACTGCTGACCACAATCCTCGCTTCCATTGCCTGCAATTACGTTTTTTGAGATCGACCTGCTCAACCAAATATCTTTCCATTATCAGCTAAGATGGTGTTGATGCAATTTGAAACTGATTCATGCAGACCGGCAGGATAACGATAGTCTCTAGTTGTAAACTATGATTTGGATAAAGGGTTCAGTCAATGCCAACCTACTGATAAGTGTGGTTTGAGGAATTGATACTTCTAGATGGCTAGCGAGCAGCATTGTAGAATTTTCAGCTGCAAAACGTGCGCCAATGAAATCTGTTCGAGGTAATTTCGAGTTACATTAAGTAGTGAATTTGATTTGTTCACACTTGTGATCACATTGTATGTATATTGGCCTTAATCCTAGACCCAACTTGCCTTAATCTTACAACTTTTTGTGTGGCTGTAACTGATTTTGTCTTGGGAGTTTTTCCTTTGGTGTGGCGAACTAATTTCACTAAAATGGATGAATTTCGTAGGAATTGGCACCAAAAAGTTCTTTTACCTTAGATGCAATCATGTGTATATCGCTTTTTACGTGTCTTATCATGTAAAAAAACAATAAATACCACTAAAAATGCAACTGATTAACCGATTTTGCCAGCTTAATTTAGTGTAGGAAGATCGTGGTCTAGAATATGAAAAGATTGCAATGGAAAATGATATATGGTTGATTTATAAAAGAAACTATGATTTTTGCTAGATATCAATCACGTTCGATATTGTATCCAATATACTAAAGATTTGTTTTGTTTTGTTTTGTTTTGTTTATTTTAATTTGCATGTTGGCAATTAAGGTACACCGTAAGCACCACACCATATATGCAGAGAGATTTTTCAATGTGCCGGAAACACACTAAATGTCATAGTACAAATAGTTGAAATTTTTTTTCAAGTATCCTACCACTTGTATTATAACACCTAGTGTATCAGACTGTGTTTTCGGTACACTAAAAATTTCTCATATATATAGGTTCAAATCTAAAACAGATGGGCGTTTTGAAGAAGATCGAAGAAAAAGGGATATGCCCCACGTTATATTATTCTTGTGAGATTCCTTTTAATGTTCATAAATGGTAGCTAATTCCGCATGGGTACATGCGTGCATGCAGACATACATACATACATATTACATACATAGATAACATACGTCCAAAGTCCTGCAGTACAAACAAACAAGATCAAAGGGAGAATTTCACAAGATCCATGACGAAATCTCGATCTGGTCTAATAAACAAACAAGGATTTTCATATATTTCACTCGATCATAAACATTTGCAGTTATTTAGTAAGAATCGCGGTCGAAAACAAAATTGTCACGATACTTGTCAAGATTATTATCTAATTGGGAGAATATTGCGATGATACTAGGTTAACTCGTTAATAGGTTGATCCAAAACCTGTTATTTTCATATCATATGATTTCATGTTAGGCTAGCGAGTCATGTAAAAAATTATTAAGTCCTATGATTATGCGTTGTGTGAATTAATGACTGAATTTGACCATGCATTGTGTAGGCTGCAACTGTGCTGGCGACGGCGTACTTATCTGGAGCTAAAGTCATTTTTCGTGCCGTTGGGAAATCGTACACAGGAGAGAGGCACACAACCAGAAAACTTGTCAAGAAACTCTTCAAATGACACCCAACTGTGCTGGCTTCTTAATTTCGTTATAATCACAGCATATATGCTGTTAATTAATTTGTTTGTTGATTATGTAATCTAGTATCGTTATTATGTATTTTCGAAGCTTGAAGATGAATTAATGCAGTTGTTTTGGCACTAGTTTAATGTCAAATCTAATTAATTATTTGTTGTTCAAGAGCTTCTCCTTCTCTGGTGTAATTAATTGATGTGGAACATATGGCCGAATGGATTGAAAACAAAATAGACCGGGAAAGACAAACTACAATAAATAAAAAATAACAAAAAAATGTTAGAGAGGTGGTACAAATGGAATCGAGATCCTCGCGAGATCTTAAAGTCCGAAGCCGACGAACCAAGTAATTCGAATCACTCATTTTGAATCTTACAGGCTCCTATAGTCTTTCTTACTAACCCACCTTACAAAATCCAAACGTTCAGATCATTCTCCTCTTTTAAACGATCCAAATTACGCAGTTTGTCGACTACGAATTGCGAAATTTGAAAAGAATCTAAACTGGCACAAATATGATGTATAAAATATAACTAGAGTAGCATTTTTTATATATAGTTTATTACATTATTTATTCATGAGAAATCTAATCTCCGATTCTTTTTACTTTTATTACAACCCGTCATCCATAAAATTTTAAACTCAGAACCTCCTTTCTAAAGAGCGGAGACTCCAAGTCTCCATCTCCAAATAAAAGATGACAAATCAAGTGCAGCAACAACAGAGTACATCTAAACAGCACTCACAAGTCTCATAGCAAGCAGAAACAACAACAAGCTGCAAACAAACTGCACCGAAATTCACAGATCACAAAACGAAATTAAAGGATAATCGAGGACACATATAAGTAAAAACTGTAAAAATTTCAATCAGACTAACCAAGCATAGAGGCAACCCTTCTCCTCGTGGCGCCGTCGAACGTGATCAACCGGCGACATTTCTTGGTACCCCGGTGGTGCATACATTTTCTCTTCTTCCTCCTCCCACCACAAGTTAAGAAAGATAAATAGACTGAGTGCTGATTTTTCTGTGCAACTCTCTTCTTTTTTAGGCTTACAAATTTGATAGAAATACTGAATGATAAAAGCTGTGTGTGATTTGCAACCACTCAGATTTGGTATTAAATGTATCCACCAATCATTTTTATGAGCTTCCATTACAAAATCAGTGGTTGACAGGTGGGTGAGGGAATGAAGCTGAGATTCTATCCCACCGCAGAAGTGGGCAGTCTTAACTCTTTGTAAGTACAGACAAAATCTCTTAATCTTCGTTGTGGAACACACTTGTTTTTGTGTGGGGTCATTTATGCCTTAGCACATGACAGCACACTTGGGTAAAGTGGGAGCAAGCAAGATGTGACTCAACACGTCAGTAACATATCATTACAAAAAAGTTGAGGTAAATAAACCAATTAGTAATATTGGAGATAGCCCAACTCTTTACGAGAACATGCAAGATCCTTAATTCGCCAACGTGAAATTTAGGCTGGTTTGGTATTGCTGTGCTTTGAAAAAAAACTATTTTTGTTGTGTTGTGAAAAAAAAGCGGCTGTGAAATAAAGCAGCAGAGTGTTTGATAACTTTTTTTGTAAAATTGCTTTTGGAAAAAAAAAAAAGCAATATGATAGTGTTTGGTAAACTTTTATATAAAACAGCTGTGACGGTGTAAAATGACCAATAAGGGTATAATACTAGATGTGCCATTAATTTAATTTTCTTAACCAATAAAGGTGAATTACTAAATATACTTTATTTGTTAAAGAAAAATATTTATAAACTTTATCTTAAATATTAATTAGTATGACAAACTACTTTAATTGAAATATTTTAAACTGAATAGCTAGAATTCATTAGTACAATATTGTTAATGTACTTGAAAGTAATCTAATTAGATGCATTCATCAAACTTGCCGCTATTCTATTTCGTAATGCTTCTATCTCATGTGATCCTTCAACTTCATAATTTTGGTATTCTTCATCATCATCATCACTAGTATCGCTTTCTTCACAATATTCCCTGGGGTCATCAAAATGACGATCACGTTTAGAATACCTCCGTATGTAGTTATGAAGAGCCACTGTAGCAATGACAATCTTCACTTGCTTATTGAATGGGTAAATAGGCATATCCCTTAAAATTGCCCATCTTTTCTTCCATACCCCAAAAGTTTGTTCAATGATACTCCTAAGAGAAGAATGCATGTGGTTAAATACCTCTTTCTGACCCGTTGGTTCGGCACCCTTACGAAAGTCTGAGAAATGATATCTTTCACCTTTATATGGTCCCAAATAACCTCTCATTTGTGGGTACCCCGCATCTACCAAGTAATATTTTCCTGACAATTGAAAATTTTGTTTTGTATTGTAATAATTATACAAAGCAAGTATGTAAAATGTTATAATAATACAAAGTAAGTATGAAGATTACCATTTGGAGGCTTAGAAAAGTTTAAATTTGGATTCCGTAGCACGGATAGAAAAACCCTTGTATCATGTGCAGTGCTTTCCCATCCGGCACAAGCAAATGTGAATTGTATGTCAAAATTACATGCAGCCATAACATTTTGAGTTTGTATTCCTTTCCTACCAATGTATGGAACTTGATCCGAAGGTGGTATTGAACCCTCAAAAAAATGGGTTCATCATCAAAGAGCAGCCAAACCCTAACCTAAAAATTAAATTAATTAATTATAGCAAAAATTGAAAGCAAGTCGAGTACCTGGTACCTGGAAGGTGACGGCGGTCTGGCGCTGAGACCGACGAAGAGAAAGGAAAAGGAGGAGGAGGAAGAGGTGCAGCGGCAGGAGGGAAGAGGGGCGTGCGGAGTGTTTTGCGAGAGAGAAAGAGAGAGTGCAGAGTGTAGGAATTAGGAGAAGGAGAAAGGAGAAAGGAGAAAGGAGGGGGCAGTATTGGCAAATTGAAAAAATTCATTAACTTGGTACTGTGGCTCCGTGTTTTGGATAATAAGCGGCTTCTTGAAGCTGCAAAATGCAGCTTCCACTTTTTGGCTTTTTTTCACGTGAAACTTTGAGATAAAGCTATTTTGAGATGTTTAACAAACACCAAAACCCCTACCAGTTTTTTTTTCATCCCAGCTTTTTTTTTAATCACCTCAATCCCAAACTGCACCTTACATTCTCAACAGCATACATATAAATATACGTACATACATGTTTACGTGCGCGCGCACACACACACACATATATATATATATATACATGTATACATGGTGTGTATATACATATACACATGTGGGTACATACGTGCAGCCCATGTGTGGTCACTGTCCAAATGGAGATGTGAAGTCAGATTCCAATGGCTTGAGTCATGACACCATCATCAGGGCTTCCCGTGATTCATATTCACAAGAAATCACTGATTTCTTTATCAGTATTAAGACGAGACTACCACACCTTCTCTCTTTTTATTCTTTTATGTATTACAATTGTATGATTCTAACATGGGTTAGTAGACAGAAAAATATGGGTAATGCAGTTTGTCGACGTCATCCATAAAGCACCTCTCAAAATATTAAGGGATGGCGTATAATTTGGTCTTACCGATCTCATTGATCTTCAACCGGTGCAGAGTTGCCTAGTCAGACAGTCTTATTGAAATTTCGACCATTTGTATGTGATCTCGTTCCACGTGAAGGTTATCCTAATCAATCAGCCCTACCAAAATTTCTCAAGTATGTAGGATAAACTCTTTTTAGCAGAAAAATAACTTTAAACTCAAAATTTATCAACACAAGCAAGACCAAAACACCGACATAATAACACAAATAATGTGTATAATACGAGTCAAAAGTTGTTCCAAAAGTCATCATATCAACAACATTTAGATTTATGAACTTCACCTAGTACATGTGAATCCATGCTAGCCAAGGTCAAACATGTTTGTCCAAAAAAAAAAAAAAACCCAAAATAAAAAATATGAAATGGGGGGGGCATTAATTTAGCTATACAAATTCTTGACATTGCAAAGCGGATGGCTTTAAACATGATCACTATCTACTCAACAGGGAGACAGAAAAAATACAACTTACAAAAGATAGGCCACAACAAACCAACCCTTCTGTAAAGATACAAGATGTGTCAACAAACATAACACACGGCAAGCAAAACGGTCCTTTAACGAATCTTCAGCGCAGCGGGATCATCTATCAATACAACTCAGAAGTACAACATCCAAGCACTAACACAATCTGCACCATTTGTTATCTCTGGTCCAGTTCAGAACCAAATTTTGATACCCTATTAGAGCTGTCAAACTATGCATGCCAAGTTCCGTTACTTGAGAAATTAGCAGACAACAGGGTAAGCAGGAGGTTTCATGGGAGATAAAAAGTTACAGGCTACAGGTTGGACCCCAGCCGCAGTTTCCAAGCGTTCCCATGTTAACCTTCGCTTCTCAGCTGCAGCGCTTGACCTTAAATTTTCCTCCTCCAACTTACATTGGCAGGCAATTACCAGCTCCTCATCCATATCGCAAAATGTCTTCTTCACATTCAGGGTCAGGTTCAGCACTGCTTGATTCCAGTGGTGTTGGGTGTTTCGCTCAATAGCTGGGAAGACAAGCGGCAAGATCACCTGGCGGTTATGTGCGACAAGGTTAAGGATGTGTTCATTGTTCCACAGCAAGTGGGCTCGTTCAGCCACCTAAAACAAGAAATATGCCATCGTTTAGAAGCATCATCAGTTGAATGATCTAGATCATGCTAACGTATAGTTCTTTACTATCAAGCAAGCAAATTTTCAGTCAAACAGGGGGTTCCAGTTTATGCGGTAGAATATTACCTGGTAATGAAAACTATTGAGGCAGCATCTTATCCGCCGGAACAGGGGAACCATGACCCTTTGAAACTCATCCATGCTAGTCATTTCCAAAACCTCTTCTAACTCGCTTAAAAACATCAACTCCTTCTGGCTATTTGTTACAGGCCAGTACTTCAACAACCCCTTTATTACAGTACTCGCCAATTTCGGATCCTTATCTATAAACTGTACAACACAATATGTCAACTGCTGATGATAAATACCCACGGACTTTGGTTTGTGTAGAGGAATCAGAGCCCTCCACAAAAATATCTTGTGTTCCTCCTTCAGTGGCAAAGCAAACCCACTAATTACACTTCCAAAAATCTCCAACAGCTCAGAAATTCCATTATGCCTTTCAGTTTCGAAAACAAAACGATATATGATATTGCTGACAGCTTTCCGAATAAATGGCCTGTGTACCATGAACTTTCCATAAATCCTATGCAGAATGGTTTTCAAACAATCTCTTTCTCTTGGGTCCTCAGAGTCAAAGAGGTCAAGTAATTTTACAATAAAAGATTGATCCACATGCTTTTTTGCCACCTTTACATCAAGTGAACTATAACTGATAAACCGAACCAGAAGATCATACACAATTTGCAGATATGACCAAGCAGGATCAAACATTGGTTCTTCATCTTCTGTTTCACCCCCAGTAAAATTAGATCGATACTTAGGTGGGAAAACTCTAAACAGGTTGACTGCACACATTTTACACACTGCAGAAATTGCTGGTTCAGTGAACTTCACAGTCCCAGAAGAAACATAATCAACAAGTTCTATCAATGTTTCACGTTTGAGATCTTGCTTAACTGGATCGCTGGAATCGACAAACTCACAGCAAAGGTTCAGCTTGCTGATAAATAGATTATGCTTCTGTGGGTTTGAAACCTCCTTGAAGGATAGATGGGGCTCCACTGCCTCAGCTCCGGCTGCAATGCTTGATGGGAAAACTGCTGAAGACACCCGCTTGACAACATTTAATTTGCTTGTAAGAGAACTCCCACCAATTGTACATGGGAACCCACTCCCCAAATTGGAAGTATTGCTGCCAGAATCACTCCCTATAGAATCTAGTGAATCAGACTTTGATGACTTGCGAGGAAGTTTGCTTAGGATTTGCTTCAGCATGGTAGACCCTGCATAATCCAACCAAAATTTAACATGGCGAAATGTTGTAGCAATCAAATCAATACATCAATGCATAAAACCTTCAAATAGAATATCTTTAGGCACGTCAGCTACAAAACCATCCACGTATATGGAGTGTAATCATAGTACTACAATGTCCCGCAAAGGGATTACACAACAACGCAACATAAGATTTCAACTGTGTAGGTAGTAACGGGAAATGAAAAACAGACTGAGCGGAACACAACTTGCGATGAAATTGAAGCCGTTTAGAAGACAACTTCAGTTAGTAATATCTACATGACAGCATTTCTTCAGTAAAGTCCAGAACAAAAGCATATACAAGTAACAATTGAACTGAATCTTTCACCCACCAGATCAACCTCAAAAGCAATCAATTCAAAACATGAAAATTTTATACACCAATAAAATCTAACAAATACTTCTATCTTACTAAAGAAGAACATCAATCTGACCAAAAAAGAAACAAACACTACAGAAAGAAACAAGTTAAAAACAAGTCTCTAATTAGCAACAAATTATAAGATGATAAATGCCTATAAAGTTACTAGATTTTGGTACAACAAACAATGGAAACTCAGATCTGGAACAAAAACACAATTATAACACAGATCTACACCAACCCCAGATCACAATTATCATAAAACCCTCTCAAAAAAGAAAACTTGGGCATGATCTACACAATGCACAAACAAAATTCATCAAGAACAAGAATTTGAAGTATACCCAAGTTAACTAAACTGAACACAAACATTCAAGGAGAGAGAAAGAGGAGAGAGAAACCTGTTTTGGAGCTTCTGGGTGTGCTTGTAAAAACCAGAGAGAGACACTTTTTAGCAAATGAGAGGAGCAGAGGAGAAGGTCATGGTATCCACAAAACTACCCAAAATGTAATTTTGGGTGAGAAATGAAAAAGCAATTTACTTTAGAACAAAAGGGAGGAAAAACACAAGGCAGGCAGCAGAGAGAGAGAGAGAGAGAGAGAGAGAGAGAGAGAGAGAATGAGAGAGAGAGGGAGGGAGAGGCAGCGTTTGGCCGTGAAAAAAAATGATGTTTTGATCCACTATCTCCTTTTATGTTGGACAAAAAGCTTAAGCTAGAGGGCTTCCATGGGAGATCAATACGAGGTCCTCGATTGAATAGAAGAGGCGGTGTGGCATTTTCTGAGAATTGCAGGCGCCAGGCTCCACCCAACAAAAATAAAGTTCAACACTTTTGGGTTCAGTTGGTAGAGAGGAAAAATGAAAGAAAATAAATTATATGAAAAAATAGAAAACTATTTGAGAAATATTCCTTAAGCTAAGCTTGGCTGAGCTGAATAAGATCCGGATGGGATTTTCATTTGGTAAAAAAGCATTGCTATTATTGTACTTGTGGGGCACCGAAAGCGGCCTCGTTGTGTACCATGTTAGCAGTAGCACCAACCCAAGTCTTGTGTATTGTTCCCTTTCTAACTGATATTTTTGTTGGTCCATTTGGTGTACTTATGTTTGATTAGCCCTGAACAAAGAAGAGGGGTTAGATGGAGAGGACTAATAACCTACTCTAATGATGCTATTATGACAATATCTCTTACGCACTAATATATTTTAAGTTTAAGTCGCAACTTGTATTGATGCATCAGATATTGAATATGTCATAGTGTAAATCCGAACATGTGTTTTTTTACTTAAGATACCTTCACATTAGTATCTTATATATAATTAGACGAGGCATAGACTCCCCAACATATATTGTACATACTCTTTTTAACCCGGTTGGATTATTTAGGTAACTCGACTTTTATAAAGAGTTATCATAAAATGAGAGAATCCAACTCATGACCTCTAATGATAATACTAAATTTTGTTAACAAACTAAATTACAAATTCCTTACTTGAATCACTCGGCTTAAGATCTTGCTTTGTAATTTAACTGTGAGCCTTCTGCGTTTAATCATTGTATGAACTTCGTGGCTTGAATTATTATAATTAACTTTTATTAAGATAGTATGTGAAACGTAAAAAATGATATATGGATAGCACCACCCTTTTATTAATGTATTTCAGTCTTGAAATTACATAGGGGTGATTTTAAAAAAGAAAAGAAAAGGAACCATAATGCATGTTGGCCAATTTAACAAAAGGTTAATCTTTTGATTTGTTCAATTGTTCCCCAGGACAAATGATGGGATCAACATCATAACTAAATGACAAAATATAGTGCCAAGCCTTGTCCTACCCAACAGGTGCCCATCAATTAGTTGGTAAGCAGAAAAAATGTGTATTAAACAAAAATAAAGCAAAGTTAAAATAATAAAAGGTTGGAGTTTGCTTATCGGCTTTGAGAAGCAAAGAAGACCAAATGATTCCCATAACAATAACTTTGTTTCCATTTAACTTCAATCTCATCCGTTATAGTGAACTTTCTTTGTAGAGTTATGCTTGTCTAATGACATTCTAATAATAACAACAACAAAATCTTATTTTGCTAAATGAGGTTGACTTTATATATGAATCATAGAACGTCATTACACTCAATTTTTACGTCAAATCTTTCGTTAACTTTAGGTACTATAATTGATTGGCACCCTGTTGGGTAGAACAAGGCCTTGCATGCTAAGAACGTAAAAATATTTTTGCTCTTTACATGTGATGACTCATTTTTCTTTATTATATTGTTTATATTGTGATTTGCACTATTTTTCTTTTATTCAAGTAATATTTTGATTGTTCTAATCTAATCTACAACGAAAGAATTCGAACATGAGTGTAAAGAGATTATCACACTATTCTAGCTAATTAAAACATTCTAACTACACCAAATTAAGGGTAATTAGAGTGGAAGTTGCGAGTTACACTTATTAGTAAGAATTACACTTATTAGTAAGAACGGTGTCCTTTTTCTTGTATCCAAGTTCGGAAAGGTTAGGAAGTTTACATGAAGGTATTGATTTGGGAGAATTTAACAGCAAAATGCACATGACTTTGGCTCAGTACAAGTACTTATTAAGGTCAAGATGATGTTGTCAAAAAACAAAAGCTGGTGCGCATTTCTGGCATAAACTAAGGAAGCTATTATTACTAACCAAATGATCAATTTGCAGTAAAAGTAGTAGGGCAGAGTTACTTTTACTGGTGCAGCTGTAATTACCATCAAAGTTTCACTGAATAACACAACTAAAAAGAGAGGGGGTGGAAGGTACAGTCAGGTTAACTTCTCTCTTATTTTTCTGACTAAAATGGCTTTAACAAGGAAAATAGGGATACCTGAATTGAGATTTTCTCTGTATCTCACAGTTTGAAGCCGACAAATCGAGTAATTCGGATCATTTATTTTAAATTTTACAATCTTTATTAGTCTATTTTATTAGTCTGCCACATAAAAATTAATGATCTGACCGTTAAAATTTCTTCTCACTCTCTTAAATAGTTCGAATTACGCAATCCGTCGGCCCTAAACTAAGGAATCTGAATTCCATCTGTATGTAAATGATGAGCAGTACTACTTGTATCCATGGTCAGGAAGGAATCTGAGTCCTTGGAGCTGCAAAATGATTACATCAAATATTATATGACGACCTTTTAAAAGAAGAAATAAATGAAATGAAATTAAAAGGGATTATCTATTTCTGGTTTGACGGTGCAGGACGCCATGTACCTATCCCAACAGCATCTGAACTTTTCATCAACCGAATACGCTTGCATGATTCTATAAACATCCTGCAATTAATTGGAACAAAAAACAAAGAAGAAAACGTATGGTTATACATAAGCTTTGGGTTTGACAAATCACATGAAAGCAAATTGCGTAACCAAACTTAAATCCAGAAAAGAAAATAAAAGTACGATGAACAAGAAATAGACCGAACCCTAGTCACATGAATTGGCTCTATATTAATTTACGCAACCACATTAAATCAAGACTTCTCATAGTTGATGAAAAATCAATAAGATAATATTTAAATTTACAGTTTATTCTATGATCGTCTCACTAACCAAACTCCACTCATGCTAAAGAGTTGGCCATTTAGAAGGTTAGTGGGGATTTGAATTAGGGTCGCTAGTATGTAACAGTTTGCCAACTCAACTATATATAACCATGAGGATTAACATGCACATAGTACTCTTGGCTTGCTACATATATACTTAAACACTAACTAATTTTAGTTATATGAAATGTTTTGGCAGATTTGTGACAATCATTTTCATTACATATGCATATGTAACACTTTCAGTTATTTTAAAAACACTTCCATACGAGCCCGTAGTAGGTACTGGCAACTTACTTCCAAGGGACTTCTCCAATTAACATCCAGTCTCCATCCTTGTCTTCATATGTCAGCACATATTGATCCATTCCTTTCAATGTAGGTTTCATAACCTCATTGCTGTCCTCAATACACTTACCTAATTAAAACATTATCCAGATTAATTACTAACCTTGTATTTATTAATTAGAGCTTGTATCACAAATTTATATTGGTATAACAACTAGTTAATTATAAACTATCGCTAGCCAGATTTTAGCTTAATTAACTTTATAATACTCACGGCATATGGTTAAGAAAGTGAACATTTGGTCTAAGGCTCTCAATAGCTCCTGATAACTTTTGTACACCTCCAAATCTAGTTTACGCAGATAAGGAGCTCCATCTGCACTCACTTTTACATTCCTTCTGCCTGCTTTCCACCACCACTAACGCCTTCTGTCTCATCGATCTTACCGGCGGCCACTCAATTATTCTTGCTCTGAATATCAAAACCCCAAATACACAGTTCGTTAGACAAAGCTGAAATGAAAATGTCGACAAGCTAAACAAGTATGGTGATTTAGTCAACTTTTGACATGGATATATAATTCTTGGAGTACAATTTAAAAACTGAACGATTTGATATCACACATCGGAACTACGCATGTAAGAAACAACATATGTAAGTTAAAACAAAATCTTTACTTTGCAGCTGGGGCTTTGATGACGGCGGTAGTAGTACTTGATGATAAACTGCCACGTGGATAGCTCCCGGTAGAGCTTTTCCGGAGGCCAATCTGATCAACGGTCTCCATGAACCCCCGTTTCATCGAGCTGCTGCTGCTACTACTTATCTTGAAGTTGAACACTCCAAAGACACGATGATGATCATAATCCGACGTCGTACCAGGTAACCCTAAGGTGAGCTCAGTATCCTTAAACTCCATGCTTTCATTTGATGACATCAGCTTTCCGGTCGGCCGGCTAGTACTGTGTGAACTTGTGCAGGTTGTTTGCTTTGCTGTTACATATATAGAGTACAGGAAGAGTGGAGGTAGAAAATTTCAACGGCACAAGGGGAGGCGAATGAGGAGAGTCCACGTGGGGTCCGGTGTGGGAGCACTGCTTGCTGTTAACATGTATGGCTTGACAGTAGCAGCATAGAAGTTCGTGCCGGCTGTCGGTTTATGCATTCCGATTCAGTTTCTGTCACTCTCTCTGAATCGACTTCCATACATTATTCCTTGCTAAAATTACCATAATGCTTTTTAGAAATTCCACATGATCAATAGTACTAATTGGAGGAATTTTTGTAGGCATTATAAACAAAAGTTACATACTGTATTATTAAATACGCTATAAATATACGTGATACAATTTGAGTGAAACTATAATGTTATGTAATCGTGTTTTAAGTCTATAAAAAATTATTCATGTTAATTGTTGTGCTTACATCTATAATTTCATTAGGATCATCCAATAAGCGTATATCCCAATCCTCTTTTTGTATTTTTTTTTTTTTGTAGATATTACGGTATATCACTTAAATATTTGATTTAGAGAATCATAGTATTTCTCTAGGAAAAGGATATTTGAAATTTGAAGCCTCAAACATTAAGGAGAAAAATGCTCAAACATCAGGGAGAAAAATGTAACTAGACGAAAAGTTTGTTTAATTGATAACATCATATGAATTCTAGTTTTCAACTCTTATTGGGATATTGCCAAACATACGCAATACTTAAGCCAAATTAATTATTGAGCAAAATAAGGATAGATATACATCTATTTATATATCACATTTATAAACCACTTAATATGACAATTGATGTGGTAGATCACGTTATCTGTCATGTCAGAAGCTTGTCCTCATTAAGTTTCTAATGTATAATGATTGTGTGACATATGGTTATCAAACTTTTTTTTTTTTTTTTTTTTGTGAACATAAGTTATCAAACTTTAAGGATGCATAAGTGTAATCTTAATTTATCACAATAGATTGAATCTAACGAATGATCTAACTAGGTCTTTCAAAACTTGGAGAGGAAAAACTTTGACTGCAAAGAAGCGGATTA